ATCTTTACCAATAAATATATAAGAATCACCATATCTTCTATTCCGTTGTCTTAACTCACCTGTCAACCCCATTTCTATTGGTTCAACATAACGTAATAACTTTTCTTGGTCAATGAAAGTTAATACAACAATAGCTTTGTAATCAACTTTTTCTCCATTAAAATCTAGTTCAAATGTATCTGGATAAAAATCACTAATTGGTGATCCTTTAGATTTCATTAAATCATGGAATTGATATGGTAAACAACTTTTAGATCTAGGTGGTAATACAGACATTAATTGTTCGAATGGTCTAAATGGAGTGCTTTCTTTATATTTGATTTCAAAATTATAGTCAACATATTCTCCCATATCTTCTGCAAAAGGAGCATAGAGGTATGGATAATACCAGTCCCATGACTGACACCCTTTGTAGTAATATCCAAGAACCCAGTTCATTCCTTCAAAATAACTATGAACAATATCCCGAATTTTCTGAGTATCTTGCTTTGGATTTATTTTAAATTTTACACTATAATATCTTTGAGTATATCCTGGTTCTCCTAACTTAACTTCATCAGTTAATTCTTTTTGCTCAAAATCCGCTCTAAGTTTTCTTTCTTCATCTTCTATTTTTTTTATTTCTGCCTCTTGGGTTTTGAGTTGTTCTTGCTGTTCTGGAGTGAGAGTATTAATACTTTCAGTACTTTTTAAAGTACTATTTTCGTAAACATTTGCTTTCTTAATTTCAAGGTCCCTTATCTGATTATCTAATCTTCGTTTTGCATAATTTTTTTCTTTCTGACATTTCTTTTCTAGGATTGCTGGTTCTTCCTTACCAACTTCCTGTAAAAAATTCTTGGCGTTGGTAACATTAAGACTTCCACTCTCAGTGATATATCCTCCGTGTGGTAAAAATTCTCGATAAACTTTCATTAAAAGATCAACTGCTCCATCTCTAATATCTAACGATGGAATATGTGGTAAAAAGTCATTTCCAACTAAGAAACAGAAGAAAATAAAATCATCCACACATCTTTCAAATTCAAATCCCTCTACTTTTAGTGTAATTTGAAGATATCCACGAAGGATATGACAATGAAGAAATTGGAATGGTTTTGTAATAGTGTCCATAGCACCAATGTCTTTTCTATGTGGGCATTTATCTGGTGAATGAATGTCATTACAAATATAACATTGTTCTTGTTCAAAAAATACTTTTTCTCTAATAATACTGAAGAACCGTTCATGGGTTGCAAGAGATAACATAATAAGATCAGCATCTAATCCATACATACAATGATGAGTATTTGGGTTATAATCTGGTGACTCTTTTTGTCTTCTAATAAAATCCATAATTTTATGCTCTCCTTCGCCTGGTACACCAGAATCACTTAAAATAACAACAAGTTTATTCCAATAACTCGATTGACTCATTCTTTCTTTTATATATTTCTTCAATGTTTTAGAAACTACTGACATAAATTCTGTACCAGGAGTAATACAATTCGAATCTAATGGTTTTATATAGGGAACTTCAGGTAATCCATTCATTACTTTATTTCGATTCTCTTCTGCATGTTTAAGTTCTGCATTTTCTGCATCTTTTGCTGATTTGAATCTACGACTTCTTTGTTGATTCATTTTTGCTCTTGGTGCAACTCCATCAACAGCAAGATACAATAATTTTCTAGGTCTGACAATGTCAATAAGATAATCTAAATATCTACCTAACATTACCATCATGTCTTCTATTGTTTCAGGTGATTGTCGGTCTTGTGGATGGAAACAAGGATGAATTAATCCATTCATATCAATGTAAAAATTATCATATTCAACTCCATTAAAGTTAGGTTCGTTCAGGTCATTATATTGTTCGTGGAATGACCCTTGACAACCATCAATAATTTTTGGAAATTTTTGACTTAACCATCTAAAGAATGATGGAACTCCCATTGATCCTTTCAAGTTCAATTTCTTTTCTTTTTTCTCCTATTTTATTTTGTGTTTTATATATCAAAGCAAATATCATTACCAATTCTTTCATTACAAAGAAAGAATAATCAAATCACACTAACAACCAACAAAGACTGTAACTCGAATTACACCTAAAATACAATTCATTGATAAAAAACATTACTAAATAAGAAAAAATTAACGTAACTTTTAAAAAAGTTAATAAGAAAGTGATATAAAATAACAAAAAGGACAAACCAAGAAATAAAAAAATTATTCGACCAAAAACACCGAAACTTCTTTTGATGTTAAATAATAAAAATATTTTGTCTTAACCTTTAAAAGGATTATACTTTTTCTTAACCAAAATATGTTATGAGAAATGATGCATTCCAGTTTTTTCTTGAAGTATTTTCTTATTCTCTTAACCTTTCTGAATTATTTTTATTCTCACTATCTATTCTATTTTAATTTAATAAACAACCATAACCCTTCAAACAAATTAGTAGGTATTACAATCGTAAATAATTCATAAAACATTAAAACATCAACGAATAATTCATTTTTTGTTTGTTCACTTTTTTAGAAATATAAATACTTTCAAAGAATTATGTTAAAACATAAACTCCATTTATTTAAAACCCTGAAGAATCAAATAAATTCAACGCATTATAACATTCAGTATATATAAAACAACAATGATTAATTAATGTGAACAGAAAGTTATTATAAAACATATCACAACTCTCTTTATAATATCATTATTAATAAAGAAACATTCAGAAACATTCTTAATTAAAATAAACTTCTGTTTGCGATACGAATATATAATTATTAAAGTATGGAATATATCATTACTTTAACTTATCTATCTTGTAAAGTCGTTTGTTTAGAGTTATTATTTCATCAAAACGAACTAAATGTTATTTTTATTATTCTTTGTATCGCTCTCACATCCTCCCATATTACTTCAATTTTTAAGATGATAAAAGTAAATAACTTTGATATGATGAAAAAACTTTTCATTTTTAATGATATATTCCACGTATTATAAAC